TACGAGTGAATAATGATTTCACTACTCCAACATAAGAGAAAATGTGTTACTGGGGGTAACTGTAGAAAATTATTCCTTTTGTATGCCTTTACTCAGAGCATCATTTCTTCTAAAAATGGTGTTACATGAGAATGGGAGTGTTCCTCTTTATATATTCTACCTTATCAACATAGAGACAACTTGTACACAAACGAGACATGTTCACCTGCTTTGTTTACAAAACTAGCGTCCGCCTGGTTTGTTTACATAACTCCACACCTGTCCCCTCTTGTGTACTCTCTCATTTATTTGTTTTATCTCATTTACCCACCTCTGACCCTACATTAAGATCACAAATATTTCAAGGTAAGTAAAGAGTGAACTGTATATGCATTTTATCACTCTTGGACGCTTAAAGAGTCGATGAGATAAATCGTCTTTTTTTTTTCTTTTTGTCCAATTCAATGGAATTTTTACTGTGAATTAAGCAGCATTTCAAACCTAGACACTGTTTTTAGTGAGTTTTTTCCTTACAGTTAGAAAAAAAATAAACAGTACCCTGTTCTATAGGGCTTGAATCTATCCTTCTAGTACTAAATTTGTCCACAAATGCAAGTTTTTACAGACAAATCTCCCGCTAGCATGGCCATGACGAACTCTAGCTCAAGTCCCCTCAAAGCCGTCAACATGACTCATGAAATCGTAATGACACGATTGCAAACAAACTGTCATGTTGACGACTTTGAGAGGACTTGAGCTAGAGTTCGTCACGGCCATGCTAGTGGGAGATTCATCTGTAAAAAACTTGCATTTGTGGACACTGTGGTGCCTATGCAAACCTTCCTATGGTGTAGAAATATACCTAGTTGGATGAATCTTATTGAAGCTAGCTGGCCCAGTGGCTAACATGATGGTCTGGAGTTTTGAGACTCTGACCGCGGGTTCAAACTCCACCCGTGGTATAGTTTGACTGACAGTATGGTTTGAGCACAAACATTTTCAGTGTAGCAGGAGACTGTTTTCTGACGAGCATTTTGTCAATGAAATGAAAGCCATTATATTGTGTGAGGATTATTTTCTTGCAAGTATTGGTCATAAATACTCATATTGTTAGCTTTAGAACTACAATCTACAAGCTTAGGATAGCCTTTCTATAATTCATTTCAACTCACCAGATGGAGGGTTTGAACCCATGGCAAGCCAATTCTAGAACTAGCAAGTCAGTGTTTGTCGTAGACAACACACACATAAATCTTCAGGGTTACTTAGCAATAATTGAGTGTTTGTTGTATAGGTTGACCATTGCCAATTCGGCATCACTGTGACCTGTAGGGAGCCAGAATAGTGATTTTGCTGGATTACAGAGTGATTAGGTTAGGATACACTTAACCCAGTGGCAATATTTATGCATTGATGATTTCACCCACTTTACACTCTATTTTTGGCCCATTCCATTGTTCCACTTTACCAAGCTCATAACTATTTCACTAGTATTCCTTCTATTCTGTCAATTGAGTATAAGCAACTGCCCATTAACCTATTTCAACTACCCAATAAAGTGATCAGAAATTGGTAATTTGGCCAATTTCACACAAATTTCAAGAGATGCCAATTTCAAAATAGGGTCCAAAATAAACAATGCAGGCATTCTTGGCACTAAAATAACATTTTCTCTGTTCATTAGTCATGTGTCTAGGCTCCTCTTATATTATGCTTGCTTTCCATTTTGAATTTTTATTCACACAAAAAATAGAAGATTTACTATTATGCAGACTTCTGCATTATTGTAATAATTGTAAATAATGTCAACCCATTCATGACTGCATATTAGACTAGCCAGTTGGACACGCATTGGATGATAACGTCATTTGTTTACTTGAACACCAGCAAAAATCGAACATTTCTGATATTTTGTGTTCAATTTCAAGGTACAGTGGACCCCCGAGTTTCGTGATTAATCCGTTCCAGAGAGCCCGCCGAAGGTCGAAATTCACGAAACTTGAAACCATTTTCCCCATAAGAAATAATGGAAATAAAATTAATCCGTTCCAGACACCCAAAAATATTAAAATAGAATATTTTTTTTCAAATTAAATAAAGATTTACATAATGAAAACAATCAGAAATCAAGTACATGCATTTAAAAAAATAATAATAACATTACACTTACCTTTACTGAAAACTTATGGGTTGATGGAAGGCGAGAGGAGGGGTTAGGAAGGTGTACACTATTTTTTGGAAGGAGAATCTTCCATTAGGACTTCAGGTATGAAGTCCATATCTGGGGTTACTTCCCTTCTTCTTTTAATGCCACTGGGACCAGCTTGAGAGTCACTGGACCCCTGTCGCACAAAATATCTGTCCAGAGAGGTCTGTTTCTGGCATTTCTTTAAGATTTCCCTGAAGTGAGACATAACACTGTCATTGTACATGTTGCCAATACAGCCTGCAACAGCTTTGTTAGGGTGAAGTTCATCCATAAATGTTTGCACTTCAGTCCACTTTCCACAAATCTCCTTTATCTTGGAAGAAGGCACCTTCCTCCATCTCTCTTCCTCCTCCTCTGCAGCAGTTTCCTGAGCTGTGATCTGTTGCTGTTGCAGATGAAGCTCTTGCAGCTCTTCAGTGGTTAGCTCTTCCCTGTGGTCCTCCACCAACTCTTCCACATCCTCACCACTCGCCTCCAACCCCAGGGACATCCCCAATGCCACAATAGTTTCCACAACTGGCATAGGTTCCTTAGGGTCAGCCACAAACCCTTCAAAATCCCTCTCTTGTACACAATCTGGCCACAGATTTCTGCAAGCAGAGTTCAAAGTCCTGGAAGTCACTCCCTCCCAAGATTTACCTATAAGGTTTATGCAATGGAGGATATTAAAGTGATCTTTCCAGAACTCTCTTAGGGTTAATTCAGTGTCTGAGGTCACTTCAAAGCACTTCTGAAACACTGCTTTGGTGTAGAGTTTTTTGAAGTTTGAAATGACCTGCTGGTCCATGGGCTGGAGGAGAGGAGTGGTATTAGGAGCCAAGAACTTCACCGTGATGAAACTAAACTCCTCCACTATTTGCTCTTCCATGTCTGGAGGATGAGCAGGAGCATTGTCCATTACCAGGAGGCACTTGAGTGGCAATTTATTTTCCATTAAACCAGTCTAGGAAAATTCCCCTTGTGACCCATGCCTTACTGTTAGCCTTCCACATCACACACAGATTACTCTTGGCGACACTATATTTCTTGAACACTCTGGGATTTTCAGAGTGATACACCAGTAAAGGCTTCACTTTAAAATCCCCACTAGCATTACTACAAAACATGAGAGTAAGCCTGTCTTTCATAGGCTTGTGTCCTGGGAGTGCCGCTTCCTTCTGCGTGATGTAGGTCCTCTTTGGCATTTTCTTCCAGAAGAGGCCTGTTTCGTCACAATTAAGCACCTGCTGGGGTTTGAATTCTCCAGTGTCTACGCACTCCTTAAACTCCTGTACAAACTTCTCAGCTGCTTTTTTGTCAGAACTTGCAGCCTCACCATGCCTTATCACACTGTGAATGCCACTACGCTTCTTAAATCTCTCAAACCAACCTTTGCTGGCCTTAAAATCACAAGCATCACCACTTGTTGCAGGCATGTTCTTTACGAGATCGTCATGCAACTGCCTTGCCTTTTCACATATTATCGACTGCGTAACACTATCTCCTGCTAACTGTTTTTCAGTAATCCACACCAGCAATAACATCTCCACTTCTTCAAGGATTTGTGACCTCCTTTTTGTCAGCATATCCACCCCTTTTGCAACAACAGCACACTTTATTTCCTTTCCTTTCGCCACGATCGAAGTGATGGTTGAATGGGGCTTGCCATACATCTTGGCAAGCTCTGTAACACGCACTCCACTCTCATATTTTTTAATGATTTCCTTCTTGAATTCGATCATGTTCCTCACTTTCTTTACCAAAGGGCTTGCACTAGCTTTCCTTGGGCTCATGGTGACTTATTAAGCAGTTGTAATCACAAAAAACAATGGATTATTACGTATGAACCTCCGGGGTGATGGTCACGTGTTGGTAAACAATGGCACACTGAGCGTGAATGGTGTGGGAGACTGGCTTTGTGTGCGCGGTCACGGGCGGACAGGCACCGGACGGTAGCCGAAACATCGAGTTTTTTCATGAAGCTCGAGGCCAAATTTTTCCAAAAAAACTTGCCGAAGGTCGAATTTCACGAAAGTCGAGGCTGATGAAACTTGAGGGTCCACTGTACTTTCCATTGTGAAACCAGTCAAAATCATGTCAATTTCTGTAATATATCTTCTTTTCTATCAATTGAGACAAAAAAAATGAGAATACAACCATAAAAATTATACAAAAATGCACCACAAATTCGCTGTTTTACACCAAAAACATGATCGCAGTTTTTTTCTCATTATGCACTGCATTGTGTAGGATTTTTATATATAGTGCACACTTACCACACAGACCTATTCTCTCATATGTAGGCACAAATTTATCAGTCACAGCTTATCTGAGTGAGCTGAGCTCATGGCGACCAACAGTGGCTTCAAAGCCACCTGATCTTTTATGGACAGTGTATGGTGTATGTGCTTTACACAATGAGAAGCATTTCTTTTATTTGTTAGAACCATGGCTAGGGCTAAAATTGAACAGGTTATAACAAATGGAGAAAAAGAAATTGGAATGACTTATGCAGCAAGTAGTGCCACCAAACAGTAGCGGCAGGTTGGTGTGGCTACCCCGGAAATTTGAAATTATGCTAGCTGAAATTAGTGCCGGATTACTGATTGCCTGATTAGTGATGGCTGCCCTGTAGTTACTCTTGGGGGTTGCAACAATAAACTTTGGGGTGCATAGCTATAATTCAGCATTTGTTGTAGTCTTTCTAGGGAGTTAACAGACTTTATGTTGCCTAACTAGAATTCAGTGTTTGTTGCTGACACACTTACGAATCTTAAGGGAAAACAATCCTGTTATGTTGTTAACAGTAGTATTACCTTTTGTAAAATGTTATTCTCTTTCCAAAGGTTGTTTTCAAGAAGCAGTTGAGCAGGTACCAGTGGGTTTCTTTGATCATCCTGACCTTGGGATGTGTCATCAAGCAGCTAAGTTCCATTAAGAAAGAAGAAGTATCACCCACACATACTGTGTCCATATTGACAACACTGCTTTCTAATGTTGTATCACTTCATATATTCCTCATGTTAGTTCAGGTATGTTGTTTAGCTTATATATCTCTGCATGCAACAGATTGGTTTTGTTATTTTTTGTGCTTTAGTTTTTAGCAATATTCTCTTTATATGTATTTTGAAATGTTTATTTTTATTAAATTTTCGATGTTCAGTTATCCAAATACAGTAGGACCCCCATATCCACAGGACATAAGTTCCAAGGACCTCTTGTGGATACCAAAATCTCAGATAGTAGCAAACCCTATAAGTCCTATACATACCTATTATAAAGTTTAATTGATAAAATATGTGCAGTATTTGGAGAATTATCATTTTTTCACTGATGGGAAGCACTTCACAGCTTCTCTTAGGCTTTGAAGAACTGCCAGCTCCTCTACTTTTGTGCTTTGGGTCCATCATTATGCAAAATTAAGAGGTATTTTTGGGCCACAGTCAACAGTAGATAACTTAAACTGCAGATACCAAATCAGTGGATATGGGGGTTCTACTGTACTGTAACTTAAAATTAGTTAACATTTAGCATATAATAATTATGACCTTTTATCTGTTTATACCTAAAAGATATTCTGTACTAGCAAGGCAGTCCATGTGAAATCTTTTTAACACTTTATTCTTAAACTATGGTATTTGTCAGCATACAGGTTGTGATGAAGCACCAGGAATATAATTTATCTGGTTTACTATCAAACGTTTAGTTTCAGAACTTCCCTGCCATCTTGTAGCTCACTTGACCTCCCATATGACATTTTATATAGAATGTTTATTATTTCTGCAGCATGGGATCTGACTCCATGACAGCCACAATTTACTCATTATCAGTTCAGTAGGCTGTAATACTCTCAAATTATCATTTTTTTATTTTAGTGCAACAAACCACAGTGGAGTATAAACAATACTGATTATCTGAAAATGTGGTATAGAACTTACACTTCAAGTTTCTCCACCTCCAACAGAAATATGCACTATGAAACACTGTTACATCAGTTATATATGGAATCACACTCAGTAATAACTAATATTACAAGCCTTTTATATTATACTGGAAATTCAGTTATGGTTTACACCTTTGCATCATCATAAATTATTGTTCCTTAGATAACAATCTCACTTGTGCTCTGAACACAGTGTTGGCCAATATCTTTTATTGCAATATACATCATTAAATATTATAAGATCAACCACTGGGCACAAATGAAAGATGGTAACATGTGGTGCATTTCAGGCAGACTAATACAGGTCTCCCTCAACATTCGCATTTTCCACTTTTGTGGGCTTCGAACATCCACGAATTCCCAGCTGCACAATCATATTTAAAATATGTCATTACATATGTTAGTAATTGTGGCAGAGCGTGTTTGGAGATAGAACAAGATAGTCCTTCAATATGACACTAATGTCAATTCTACGGCTTATTTATCTATCACAATTCATCTGATATGACATAATAAACAATATTAATAACATAGAAACATGACATATACTCTAGATTGAATAAAATATGTCATTAAGTATGTCACGAGTGTTGTTGTGTTGGTGTTGTTGGGTGTATAAGGGCCACTGAGACATGGAGGCAGTAGAGACTAGAGATGACGGTGTTGTCAGTTGCCCTATATAACTCCAACAACATTGGAGGAGTTAGGTTCGTGCTGTCCTTTTTCTATCGATTAATTGCTTAACTTACTTGCTACACTCTTAACGCTACACTTTATCGCTGGCTGGCACTATAACCTTTATCGACTCATGCTGCTTTAGTATCATACATATCGTAGAATAACTGAAGAAGGCACATTCTCCCCTCTCTCTTCCTCCTCCACTTTCGTACTCTGCTATGAGTTCATTCTTGAATTCTATAGTCTTTTTTACCTTCTTTACCAAAGGGCTGGCACTACTACAAAATTTTACGATGTTTTCATGTGTTTTATGATTGTTCTTGGTTTAATAGACTAAGGAAGCAGTATTGTTAGGCTTAGTAAATGCTATTACAGTATTATATTTCCCTACAATATATTTGGGCACCAAACATTCACAATTTTTCCACATTTATAAGGTTCTTGATTCCCTAACCCTCGCATATGTGGAGGGAGACCTATACTAATGCTTTAAGACTAGTTAAGAACTAGACATGGGTTATTAAGTAGGAGTTTTTAAGTGTACAAAAAAGAGAGGTAGCTAAATGAACAGTATTACAATTTTAAGTATGCATTAACCCTCTGAGGGTCCGTCTTGTGGTTCTATGACTTTGAAGCCAGGGTCCAAGCTGTAGTTCTACGCCATTAGCTCAGCTCATTCAGATAAGCTGTGAGCAGTAAATTTGGGCCTAGATAATACATCTATGTGGTAAGTGTTCATCACATAAACAAATCCTGCTGCACACAGTGCATAATGAGAAAAAAAACTGCACCTGTGTTTTTGGATTAAAACAGTGATTTTACAAATGTTTTTTTTTGTATGTTTTTAAAGTTGTATTCACAGTTTTTTGGTCTCATTTGGCAGAATGGAAGATATATTACAGAAATAGAGATGATTTTGATAGGTTTTAGTACTGAAAATAGCTTGAAACTTTGCTCAAAGTAACATAAATGTTCTATTTTTCCAATATTGAAGAGTAAATGAATAACATTATGCATCCAATACATGTCAGCTGGTGGATCTAATGTGTGTTCACGAATGCACTGATATTATTTATACAATTATTACAATATTACATAACAATGAATCTTCTATTTTTTGATGTGAATAAAAATTCATTATTTGAATAAAAAATAAAAATGGAATTCATTTGTAAACCCTGGAAACATAACTGATTAACAGAGAAAATGTTATTTTAGTGCCAGGAATGCCTGCATTGTTTATTTTGGACCCTATTTTGAAATTGGAATACAGTGGACCCCCGCTTAACGATCACCTCCCAATGCGACCAGTTATGTAAGTGTATTTATGTAAGTGCGTTTGTACGTGTATGATTGGGGGTCTGAAATGGACTAATCTACTTCACAATATTCCTTATGGGAACAAATTCGGTCAGTACTGGCACCTGAACATACTTCTGGAATGAAAAAATATCGTTAACCGGGGATCCACTGTATTTTGAACTTTGTGTGAAATTGGCCAAATTACCAATTTCCGATCACTTTATTGGGTAGTTGAAATAGTTGATTGGGTGATTTCTTGTGCTCAATCGATAAAATGGAAGTAATACTAGCGAAACAACTAAAATTTTGGTCAACTGGAATAATGTAATTGGCCAAAAATGGGAGTCAAAGTGGGCAAAATTGTCAACGTGTAAATATCTCTGATGCAGCAAAATTCGCGAGAGCATAATTTCATCAATTTTCCATCAGATGTCATACTTTTTGTTTTATTACCTTCAGAAAAAGGTTCTCTACCATTTCATAAGAAAAATAGCAAAAATTTTTTTGAAAATTCTTGGACCCTGTGGAGAAGTTTCAAATCAGGGGTCCGGACCCAGAAAGGGTTAAGGAGATGAGGTACTTCTTAACAATCGCTTTAAATTGATTGGCAGACAGGGGACCATTTGATGATTCAGACAATAAATTCCAGATCTTAAGGCCCTTTATGCAAATTGAGTCTTCAAAGATCAAAATCTACTCACTGTACAAAACATTCACTCATACTGCTGTATATTTTACATTTACAGAACAATAAATTCTAATATTAATCCTGGCATGTAGATTTACATTATGGACACTCGTGTCAGTAATGTAGATCTACATGTTTCCAGGCCTTTCTTATATAACACTTTCTCTCCATTTTGAGTCCATCGTCTCAAAAAAATCAGACTTTTACTCTATTTCTCAGATTAACCCTTTGACTGTTTTGGTTGTATATATACGTCTTACGCACCACTGTTTCTGAAGTATTTATACGCGTAAATTCTAGCGGCTTCAAATCAAGCAGGAGAAAGCTGGTAGGCCCACATGTGAGAGAATGGGTCTGTGTGGTCAGTGTGCACCACATAAAAAAAATCCTGCAGTACGCAGTGCGTAATGACAAAAAAAAAAAACTGACATTTTTTTTTTTATTAAAACGTCGACTTTGAGGTGTATTCTCGTATAGTATTTATTGTTGTATTCTCGTTTTCATGGTGTCAGGTGATAAAATGGAAAACATATTACAGGAATAGAGATGATTTTGATTACTTTCATGATGAAAACGACCTTGAAGTTGAACTCTAAGTAGCGGAAATGTTCGATTTTTACCAATGTTCAGGAGTAAGCAAATCACACCACACGTCCAATACACTTCAACTGGGGAGTCTAATATTTTTTCACTAGTGCACTGATATTATTTTACCATTTTTATAATAATATAATAGTCTGCATAACAGTAAATTTTGTATTTTTTTGTATGAATAAAAAATCAAAATAGAAGCAATAGTAATATAAGAGGGGCCTAGAGACGTGACTTATGAACAGAGGATATGTTATTTTAGTGCCAAGAATGTCTACATTGCTTATTCTGGACCCTGTTTTGAAATTGGCATCTTTTTTAATTTGCATGAAAGTGGCCAAATTGCCAATTTCTGACCACTTTATTGGGTAGTTAAAATCGGTAAATGGGTGGTTTCTTGTGCTCAACAGATAGAAAAAATGGAGTTCTAAAGAAATAGCTATGAGTTTGGTCAACTGGAACAACGGAATTGGCCAAAAACAGGGCTCAAAGTCGGCGAAATCGCCAATGTGTATATGTCGCTGAGACCGCTAACTTCGCAGGAGCGTAATTCCGTGAGTTTTCGACCAAATTTCGTACTTTTGGTGTCATTACCATCGGGAAAAGATTCTCTATCATTTCATAAGAAAAAATAATTTCTTTTTTTTCCAAAAATTTATCGACATAGAATGACAGTTTCAGAAAGGGGCCTGCGACAGTCAAAGGGTTAATAAAATATAACCAGGAATGATTGGTCATGGTTTATATCATCTCAGTAATTGAAGCAAAGGTGGTAAAACACAAATAAAACAAACCATTGGGGAAGCCTTGTCTTGCCACAAGAAAATCACCAAAAAATCGAATATTTTTGCCACTTTGAAACCTATTTCAAGCTACATCTTCTCAGAAAATGACCAAAACAATCCATTAACTGATAACAAGAAATGTCCAATAAAATCATAAAAATTATTCTGTAAATCATCTCAAAGTTGCTATTTTAAATCAAACACAGAGTCAGAGGCTTGCATGTACCATCATGCACTGTGTGGGGGCAAGATGCATTTATACTGTGCTTACTTACTGTACAGACACTCATGTCTTGGTCAAAATTTACCACTCACAACATATTTGAGGGCACTGTGCTTAAAATATAGATCTACATGAGTGACATTATCATCAATAACAAGAGCAACATTAGCATCAATAATATAGATCTACATGAGCGATATTATCATCAATAACAAGAGCAACATTAGCATCAGTAATATAGAACTACTTAAGTGACACTGGCATCAATAGCATAGATCTCCATGAACAACGCTGGTATCAATAACATAGATCTACATGAACAACGCTGGTATCAATAACATAGATCTACATGAGCAACACTGGCATCAATGGCATCAGTAACATAGATTTACATGAGCAACACTGGCATCAGTAACATAGATCTATGTGGGAGACAGTGAAAGAGTTAAAATTGGGTGTAATGTATTTATAAAAAATCATTGGGCTCATATATTTCCTGTGAGCCACCATTGTATGCCTTCAAACAGTTTTAAGAATAATTTTTAAACTGCTTTCAGTTTAAATGTTAATAAGAGTATTATGTACACATTTATTTATACACACTCATCTGAGTTTTCTTTGATTTTATCTTAATAGTTCTTGGTCTTATTACTTTTCCTTTTATATCCATGGGGAAGTGGAATAAGAATCTTTCCTCCGTAAGCCATGCGTGTTGTAAAAGTCAACTAAAATGCCGGGAACAATGGGCTAGTAACCCCTTTTCCTGTAAAGATTACTAAAAAGAATAAGAAGAAGAAAATTGTCAAAGTGGGAAGTCTGAATGTGCGTGGATGTTGTGCAAATGATAAGAAAGAGATGATTGTGGATGTTATGAATGAGAAGAAACTGGATGTCCGGGCTTTAAGTGAAACAAAGCTGAAGGGGTGGGAGAGTTAAATGGAGAGGAATAAATGGGATTAGGTCAGGGGTTTCAATAGAGTTAGAGCTAAAGAAGGAGTAGCAATAATGTTGAAGGATAAGCTATGGCAGGAAAAGAGGGACTACAAATGTATAAATTCAAGGATTATGTGAAGTAAAATAAAGATTGGATGTGAAAAGTGGGTTATAGTAAGCGTGTATGCACCTGGAGAAGAAGAAGTGTAGAGAGAAGAGAGAGATTCTGGGAAATGTTGAGTGAATGCGTGGGGAGTTTTGAATCAAGTGTGAGAGTAATGGTGGTTGGGGATTTCAATGCTAAAGTGGGTAAAAATGTTATGGAGGGATAGTAGGTAAATTTGGGGTGCCAGGGTAAATGTAAATGGGGAGCCTTTAATTGAGCTATGTGTAGAAAGAAATTTGGTAATAAGTAATACATATTTTTTGAAAAAGAGGATAAATAAATATACAAGGTATGATGTAGCACGTAATGAAAGTAGTTTGTTAGATTATGTATTGGTGGATAAAAGGTTGATGGTAGGCTCCAGGATGTACATTGTTTATAGAGGGGCAACTGATATATCGGATCATTATTTAGTTGTAGCTACAGTTAGAGTAAAGAGGTAGATGGGAAAAGAGGAAAGTGGCAACAACAAGTAAGAGGAGGTGAAAGTGTAATAAACTAAGGGAGGAGGAAGTTCGGCATGATATAAGCGACTATTGGCAGAAAGGTGGGCTAGTGCAAAGATGAGTAGTGGGGGAGTTGAAGAGGGTTGGAATAGTTTTAAAAATGCAGTATTAGAATGTGGGGCAGAAGTTTGTGTTATAGGAGGGTGGGGCAGGAGGAAAGAGGAGTGATTGGTGGAATGATGAAGTAAAGGGTGTGATTTAAAAGAGAAAAAGGTAGCTTACAGAGGTTTTTACAAAGCAGAAGTGTTATAAGAAGAGCAGAGTATATGGAGAGTAAAAGAAAGGTGAAGAGAGTGGTGAGAGAGTGCAAAAGGAGAGCAGATGAAAGAGTGGGAGAGGCACTGTCAAAAATTTTAATGAAAATAAGAAAAAATTTTGGAGTGAGTTAAACAAGTTAAGAAAGCCTAGGGAAAGTATGGATTTGTCAGTTAAAAACAGAGTTAGGGGAGTTAGTAGATGGGGAGAGGGAGGTATTAGTAGATGGCGAGAATATTTTGAGGAACTTTTAAATGTTGAGGAGAAAGGGAGGCGGTAATTTCATGCACTGGCCAGGAGGTATACCATCTTTTAGGAGTGAAGAAGAGCAGAATGTAAGTGTGGTGGAGGTACGTGAAGCATTACGTAGAATGAAAGGGGGTAAAAGCACTGGAACTGATGGGATCATGACAGAAATGTTAAAAGCAGGGGATATATAGTGTTGGAGTGGTTGGTACTTTTGTTTAATAAATGTATGAAAGAGGGGAAGGTACCTAGGGATTGGCAGAGAGCATGTATAGTCCCTTTATATAAAGGAAAGGGGACAAAAGAGATTGTAAAATTTATAGAGAATAAGTTTACTGAGTATACCAGGAAAAGTATACTGTAGGGTTATAATTGAAAGAATTAGAGGTAAACAGAAAGTAGGATTGTGGATGAGCAGGGAGGCTTCAGATGGGTAGGGGATGTGTAGATCAAGTGTTTACATTGAAGCATATATATGAACAGTATTTTAGATAAAGGTAGGGATTTTTTTTTTTGCATTTATGGTTTTAGAAAAGGCATATGATAGAGTGGATAGGGAGCAATGTGGCAGATGTTGCAAGTATATGGAATTGGTGGTAAGTTACTAAATGCTGAAAAGAGCTTTTATGAGGATAGTGAGTGCTCAGTTAGGGTGTGTTAGAAGAGAGGGAGAATATTTCCCCGGGTTTAAAGTAGGTCTTAGACAGGATGTGTAATGTCACCATGGTTGTTTAATATATTTATAGATGGGTTGTAAAAGAAGTAAATGCTAGGGTTTTCGAGAGAGGGGTGGGATTAAAATTTATGGGAATCAAATTCAGGGGGAATTGACAAAAGTTTTTTTGCTGATGATACTGTGCTTATGGGAGATTCTAAAGAAAAATTGCAAAGGTTAGTGGATGAGTTTGAGAATGTGTGTAAAGGTAGAAATTTGAAAATAAACATAGAAAAGAGTAAGGTGATGAGGATATCAAATGATTTAGAAAAGAAAAATTGGATATCAAATTGGGGGGGGAGGAATATGGAAGAAGTGAATTTTTTTCAATACTTGGGAGTTGACGTGTCAGCGGATGGATTTATGAAGGATGAGGTTAATCATAGAATTGATGAGGGAAAAAAGGTGAGTGGTGCATTGAGGGATATGTGAGTCAAAAAACGTTATCATGGAGGGAAAGAAGGGAATGTATGAAAGTATAGTAGTACCAACACTCTTATTTTGGATGTGAAGCTTGGGTGGTAAATGCAGCAGCAGGAGGAACGGTTGGAGGCAGTGGAGATGTCCTGTCTAAGGGCAATGTGTGGTGTAAATATTAGCAGAAAATTTGGAGTGTGGATATTAGGAGAAGGTGTGGAGTTAATAAAAGCATTAGTCAGAGGGCAGAAGAGGGTTGTTGAGGTGGTTTGGCAAATTTTGAGAGAAGGGATCAAAGTAGAATGACGTGGAAAGCATATAAATCTATAGGGAAGGAAGGGGGGGTAGGGTCGTCCTCAAAAGGGGTTGGAAAGAGGGGGTAAAGGAGGTTTTGTGGGCGAGGGGCTTGGACTTCCAGCAAGCTGCATGAGCGTGTTGATAGGAGTGAATGGAGACGAATGATACTTGGGACCTGACAAATCTGTTGGAGTGTGAGCAGGGTGATATTTAGTGAAGGGATTCAGGGAAACCAGTTATTTTCATATAGTCGGACTTGAGTCCTGGAATGGGAAGTACAATGCCTGCACTTTAAAGGAGGGGTTTGGGATATTGGCAGTTTGGAGGGATATGTTGTGTATCTTTATACATATATGCTTCTAAACTGTTGTATTCTGAGCACCTCTGCAAAAGCAGTGATAATGTGTGAGTGTGGTGAAAGTGTTGAATGATGATGAAAGTATTTTCTTTTTGGGGATTTTCTTTCTTTTTTGGGTCACCCTGCCTCGGTGGGAGACGGCCGACTTGTTGGAAAAAAAAAAAAAGTGTATTATAAGTCTACAAGTAATGAGGTGTACATTGAAATTACTACAAACAACAAACAATCTTTATTTCTTTCTGCATTATACAAAATGTAGGTAAAAGGACACAGGTCCAACTAATGTGACATTTTTATTGTGGCAACATTTTGCTCTCCATGAACTTGGTCAAGCTCCTGGGGAGCAAAACGTTGACACAATAAAATGTCACATTTGTTGCACTTGTGTCCTTTAACTAACATACAGTTGGTAATTCTGCCAACAATATTACCTACAGAATGTACTTTATATGGAATAAAATATTGTTAAACACAAACAGAAAGCCACTAACATGCTGTGCATTTGTTGTTCAAGTAATTATATGTTAAAAATACAATGTGACATAAGTCTGAAATAAATTTCTTTGGCATTACAGGTGTTCTGCTCCTGCCTTGCTGGTGTCTATAATGAAAAACTGTTGAAAGACACTGGTGCTGAGGTGCATATTATGGTGCAGAATGTCTTCATGTACATTGACTCCATCATTTGTAATGCACTGGTTCTCCTCTGTAGAGGAGACATATTATCTGCCTTTACAACTACATCACTATCTCAGGTTTGTTGATATAAAGATATTTTTTTTTTAACAACTCAGCCATCTCCCACCGAAGCAGGTTGACCTAAAAAGAAAGAAAATCCCAAAAAAGAAAATACTTTCATCATCATTCAACACTTTCACCTCACACATAATCACTGTTTTTGCAGAGGTGCTCAGAATGCAACAGCGTAGAAACATATATGTATAAAGATACACAACATATCCCTCCAAACTGCCAATATCTCAAACCCTTCCAGGACTCAAGTCCAGCTATATAAAAATAACCGGTTTCCCTGAATCCCTTCACTAAATATTACCCTGCTCACACTCCAACAGCTCATCAGGTCCCAAATACCATTCATCTCCATTCACTCCTATCTAACACACTCATGCATTCTTACTGAAAGTCCAAGCCCCTCACCCAGAAAACCCCCTTTACCCCCTCCCTCCAACCTTTTCAAGGACGACCCCTACCCCGCCTTCCTTTCCCTACAGATTTATACACACTCCATGTCATTCTACTTTGATCCATTCTCTCTAAATGACCAAACTACCTCAACAACCCCTCTTCAGCCCTCTTATAAACTCCACACCTTTTCCTAATTTCCACACTCCGAATTTTCTGCATAATATTTATACCACACATTGCCCTTAGACAGGACATCTCCACTGCCTCCAAACATCTCCTCGCTGCAGCATTTACAACCCAAGCTTCACACCTATATAAGAGTGTTGGTACTAATGTACTTTCATACATTTCCTTCTTTGCCTCCATAGATAATGTTTTTTGTCTCCACATATACCTCAGTGCACCACTCGCCTTTTTTTCTTCATCTATTCTATGATTAACCTCTTTCTTTCTTTCAACACACCGGCCGTATCCCACCGCGGGGTGGCCCAAAAGGAAAAATGAAAGTTTCTCCTTTTACATTTAGTAATATATACAGGAGAAGAGGTTACTAGCCCCTTGCTCCCGGCATTTTAGTCGCCTCTTACAACACACATGGCTTACGGAGGAAGAATTCTGTTCCACTTCCCCATGGAGGTAAGAGGAAATAAACAAGAACAAGAACTAGTAAGAAAAATGGAAGAAAACCCAGAGGGGTGTGTATATACATATATGCTTGTACATGTATGTGTAGTGTGACCTAAGTGTAAGTAGAAGTAGCAAGATGTACCTGAAATCTTGCATGTTTATGAGACAGAAAAATGGACACCAGAAATCCTACCATAATGTAAAACAATTACAGGCTTTCATTTTACACTCACTTGGCAGGACGGTAGTACCTCCCTGGGCGGTTGCTGTCTACCAACCTACTACCTAGGCCAACCTACTACCTAGGATGATTAACCTCATCCTTCATAAATTCATCCACTGACACGTCAACTCCCAAATATCTGAAAACATTCACCTCTTCCATACTCCTCTTCTCCAATTTGATATCCAATTTTTCTTTATCTATATCATTTGATACCCTCATCACCTTACTCTTTTCTATGTTCACTTTTAACTTTCTACCTTTACACACTCTCCCAAACTCGTCCCACTACCTTTGCAAAATTTTTTTTTAGAATCTCCCATAAGCACAGTATCATCAGCAAAATGTAACTGTGTCAATTCCCATTTTGTATTTGATTCCAGATAATTTAATCCCACCCCCTCCCAAAACCCTAGCATTTATTTCTTTTACAACCCCATCTATAAATATAAATTTAAAAAACCATGGTGACATTACACATCCCTGTCTAAGGCAACTTTTACCGGGAGTATCCCCCTCCTTTCACACCCTACCTGAGCCCACTTCCTCATAAAAACTCTTTACAGCATTTAGTAACTTACCACCTATTCCAAACTTGAACCTCTGCCACATTGCCCCCATCCCCCTTTTTAATATATTTTTTTTTATTCCCACCGGGCCCAAATTCCAAAACAAGGCGGGTGGCCCAAAAAGAAAAAACTTTCCCCATCATTCACCCCATCCTGTCTTGCCAGAAGGGTCTTTACACTACTTTTTTTTCCTGCAACATTAACACCCCCCCCTTCAAAATGCGGGCTTGTACTTCCCTCTCCGGACTAATCCGGCCTGCCGGTTTCCCTGAACCCCTTTCATAAATCTATTTTTCCTACAACCCAACACACGTCAAGTATTAAAAACCATTTGTTCCATTCCTCCTATCAAAGCCACGCTTGCCCGCGGGAAGTCCAACCCCTCGCACAAAAACCCCCTTTTAACCCCCCCCCCCCTTTCCCTAGCCGACCCCCCCCCCGCCCCCTTTCCCAACAACTGATCCCCTCTTGAAGTCATCTGTTTTGCTCCATTCTCTCTACAGCTGAACTACCTCAAAAACCCCCTCAGCCTGGGACAACAGTTTTGGTAACCCCCCGCAACTCCTTCAATTTCCAAAAACTACGAATTCTCCTTTATATTCACACCACACTTGCCCTCAGACATGACATCTTCAATGCCTCCACCCTTTCCCTCGCTCCCAACATTCATCACCCATGCTTTACACTCATATAAGAGCATTGGGAAAAAATATCCTCAACATTCCCCTCTTTCCTCCCAAGGGCAAAGTTTTTGTCTCCACAGCCCTAATGCCTGCTCACCCTTTTGCCCCCATCAATTTTAGATTCACCTATCTTTCATAGCCCCCCTCCCTGACACGTTCACTCCCCAAAATTTGAAAACATTCACCCCCATACTCTCTCCGTCCAATTGAATCCAATATTTTCATCCCTAATCTTTTTTTTTCCCCTTAAAACCTTTCCCTTTTTGTATTTACTTTTAATTTTTTTTTCTTTCATCCCTACCAAATTTTATCCCCAAACCCCTGAAATTCTTTCAGAACTCCCAAGACCGTGTCATCACAAGAGCAACTTGAGAACTCCCCTTTGTGTGATTCTTTTTTTTTTATTTATTTTTTTATTTATTTATTTATTTCAATTTTTGCCCATAAAAGAGTACAAAAAAATACAGGAAGAGCAGTAGCCAAAGCCACTTATACTAGGGATAGCTTTACGGGCGGGTTTTAAAAATTTTAACTTAAGATTAACAAAGAAATGATAAAATCAGTGATAAAACTTTAAATGTAAACAGATTACTATAAAGCACAAGTGATTTATTAAAAAGACGGGTCAAATTTTTTGCATTCATTAGGTAGTGATTCTTTTTAAGGGTTTTAGTTTTTTAAAAAATAATAAAGTTAGATTGGGTTTTGGGAAAAAAACATTTAATGAAATTTTTGGGGGGAAACTTTTAAGATATAAAATTTTTTATAAGGTTCAGTTATTCAGTATTTTTTTTGGGTTTTTGGGGTGAGTAATTGATCTTTGAGAAGAACTTAAATTTTAAAAATCGGGTAGTGTTTTTTTTATATTTAAGGAATGAATTCCAGATTTTGGGGGCCTTTTTTATGGGCTTTGATTTTTGGGCATAGGTGAGATGGACACGGGGAACATAAAAGGGAGGGGATCTTTTCCTTGTTTTTATGGTCATGTTTTTCGGGTTTGAGGTTGGAAAGGGAAATGTTTGGGGGGGGGGTTAATATCAGATTTAATTTGTTCTATGTTTTGTAATGGTGCAGTAAAAAAGTAGGGATGTTTTGTAGGGTTAGTGGGTTTTTGTGTTTGAATTTTGGGTTTGGGAGTGTGCTGCCGTAGTGAAAATTTTGGTTATCATTCTAACTGCGCCTTTTTTTTGAGTAATTAGGGGTTTCAAAGAGGGTTTAAATTTGTTTTTGACCCCCAAATGCATTTTTTTTCCCATGGGTTGAGTTGGGGAAAATAAGAGAGTGATATGGCCCAGGAGGGCGGGACTTTTGGAACATATTTACCGTATCTTCAAATAGTATGCCTACAGTTTTGGGAAAAATTTTTTTTGAGATGTGTTGTATATGTGTATAAAAATTTGAGTCTATTATCAAGGTGGTTCCTTTAAAAATTTTTTCCTCTGTTAGTTTTTGGGGATAGGTGACCTTTTTACCCATTATTTTTTAAGAGGGGACTTTCTGTACCCTCTTTTTCCAAAAATTTGAATAAAGGGTAGGTTTTGTCAATGTTTAGTGTAATTTTGGGTTAGTCCTCACCCCGGGAGTTTTTTTCCTGTAATTTCCGGTTTTTACAGTATTGGCTACGGGGATGGGCTGGGGGAGAGAATCCCTTTATGTAGTGTAAATTTTGAAAATTAGGGGGGTTTGGAAATTTTCAAAGCTTTTGGAAAAGGTCATTTTGTATAGGGAAAGAGAAAGGGCCTGGGCCTCTTGCCAAGCCCCTCGTTTTTTACTTCTCTTAAAACCCCCTTCTTTAAAAATTTTTAAAACCACGGGACATCACCCACCCTTGCCCTTGGCCCCCACTTTTACGGGGAAATAATCTCCCTTTTTCCTCCCTACTTTTTAACTTGAGCCCATTATGCTGAAAAAAACTCTTCATGCTTTCGGGAACCCCCTTTCCTAAAACCATACCCTGCAAATCTCCCACATTCCCCCCCTACCCAAACCTTGTCATCCCAACCTTTTCCAAACCCTTTAAATCCCCAAAAAAAACTTTCTTTTCCCTTATTTTAAATACTTTTCCCTTATATTTTTCACTGAAAAACACCTGGCCCCACCACCCCCTTTCGTTACAAAAGGGCCCCTTGTTCATCTCCCTTAACCTATTCTCCGTCTTCTTTAATTCTTTCAGTAAAAACCCCCTACCATACACTTTACCGGGGTTTTCCCCAACAGACTTCCCCCCCTAAAATTTTTGCACTCTCTTTTGCCCCCTTTCCCTTTTTATAAAAAGGAACATGATGCTCTTTGCCTTCCCTAGGTCCCTTACCCTTTTTTCCATACATTTTTAAATAAAAAGCCCCAACCGCCCCAAAAATTTTTCCCCCCCGCTTTTAACTTTTCTTTCTTTATCCCAAAAACCCCCGGCGGGGCCTTCCCCCCTTTCTTTTTTCCTACTGCCTTAGAACTTCCCCACACTCACAACTGGCTCTTCCTCACTCCTACAAGATTTTAAATTCCCCCTTTGCCCTTTTCAGGGAAAATCACAG